TCCCAAAGCGGCGGCGGGTGTTCGTGGAAGACGCCGGGGAACCAGAACACACACACACTTTGGTACTTTTTCTGTTTCCAATTACAACTTTGGTTCACTGTCTCCATTTGTTTTGCGACAGCGAGGATGTTTGTGTCACCGTGACCTCTCCTCAACATGGTCCGACGGTGAGAGGAGCTTCGTTTGGAAGCAAAACTGAAGCAGAGCAAACTCGAAATGTTGATAATAATCTGAGATAAAACTGCCCATAAAAACACAAAGCACAAAAGGTCAAAGTTGGACTTAGATGGATGCTTGCAAGGGACAATTTATGCAATAACAATTATCTCTCCCTGGTATTTTCCCCTTCAAATGATTGTGGCTAAACCGGTCTTCACCGGTATTGTCTAAGCGCTCGTGCTCCTTGACCTCTCAGACTTATTCTTAGCTATAAGAAATGTTGCCACATCATTAATCTGTTTAATTAACTCTGTGCCAACGGAAAAGAAGGAAGGCTGATATTATGAATTAGACTCGAGTTGAAAGAAGCCGCGGACTCAAATTCCCTTTAAGTCTCCTTCCGTCTTTCCTCTGACCTCACTGTCATCCAGTGCAAATGTAAAGAGGCAGGCATTTTGTCGTAGCCACTGGGCTACATGCGGCACCATAGCATTTTTAACTGGTAGTGACATTTTTTATTGACGTAGCAAAATAAAGCTTTAGCTGACTTACTCCCGGTCCCTTGTCAGGAGAATTATCAGGGCATGGAGCTGTACAATATAGCTTCCAGGGTATGACAAATGTGGTCAAGGGGTGAACGCTCCTCGGGGACGGCAGAGCCCTCCATACAGTGAAAGCATTAGCTTTCCACAGTGACATTATGAAGAAATCCATTGAAAAGGCCGGCTTCCCAGCGCTGGGGGACTCGAGGTAGAAAGCTTCATGAGTCCACCCCAGAGACTGACTGGTATTTCCAACCACGCTGAAGCCTAGAGCAAATCAATAGCTCAAAGTCCCTCATGCTCCTCAGCAGCGTCAATTAAGTAAATTCATAAAGTCGAGTGTGCTGGGAGTTAGGCGGGGAGGGAAATAAAAAGGGAAGTACAGGGGGAGAGAAAGCACAAGAATCATCCAGTCATCTCGCACATTTAGATAGAAAACAGCTTCCGCCGTGAGAGTTGCAGCTTAGAGAAGGTAGAGAGCCGTGGTCTGAGAGACTATTTCTCCACGGGTGTTATTAAGAAGCCTGACAGTCCATCTCACTTTCACCTGCCTCCATCAGCACACGCACTGTTGACCCGGCAGCCTCCACCCCCCCCCTCCCCTCCCCGTGCTGAGCCAGGCAGAGGACACATGCAAAGTGACTGGCTTTCAGCGAAAAGCCGGGCGATAATGCATATCAGCTCGGGCCCATGCAAGCAAAGTAGGCAGAGACAAGGGGGGGAGGAGGCAGCCCAGGGGGGAGGGGGAAGAGGGAGAGTGCTATAAACTGCATCGCATGAGGGAAAAGAGAAAGAGGGGACCTAACCCCGCTGCTTCAACCGCTCGCAATTTGCCTCATAAGGGGAAAGGAGGGCATGCCTTGGCTGCCTCTGGAAGACAGGTAGCGTAATGGATGGGCCAGTCTCCCAGCCGGACTGCTGACACTGCTCTGACAGGACGTTTCTACCTCTCCTTCACTCCCTCTCCCGCCCCGTTTGCCCCCGAGTGTTGTCACGGTAACTACATCCGATTCCCCCCCCCCCGAAAACTTTTTAGCAGGTGCTTCTGCATTAGCGTCACCGCTCGAGGTCGTGAATCTGTTTCACGAAGTCGAGCTGGGCGATTTGCTCGGAGGTTGTCCCGCAGTGCAGACCTGACATTTTCTGACCGAGCCTGAGAGAAAAACTAACCGAGCCCGAGCTGAACGCGACAGGCATTCTGTTTTTTATATCCGACTCCAACAATTCATGATTACTGCCTTAAAAAAATCAAGTAGACAGCCAGTCAAGGTGACCAAACCTGAACCTGAATAGAATTTCAAAGTTTCTAGTTTGAACCCAGACAGAAAAATCCTGTCGGGCTCTTGATACAAATATAATCCACCTGAACAGCTAAAGTTAATAAAACAAAGGTGGCTTCTCCAACTGAAAGGTCAAGATTATCTGTACTTAACTGCACCTTCCAAAAGAAATCATGCTGAAAAGTAATCATTCAATTATTCAGTCCTCAGTCTACGCCACATTCTCAGCTTCTTTCTCGATTACAAGAGTTTCCAAAGACTTTGACTTGCGTGAACTGTGAATAAAATAATTTAAACCACACCCAAGTGCCCTTACGAGACAGTGGAGTCTGTGCCCCGATGCACTCTGGGACAGGGTTGTATGAGCGAAAGTAAACAAGATAGTCAAACTGTATTTACGATCCAGTGGAACAGACGGAGCCTGACTCACTATCAAACTCTCCATTATGTTTTGAGCAGACTGCTTCTTTACCACGAATGGCTTGACAGACGGGCACCGGAGTGAAATATGCAGCTCCTGTATTTTGTTTCATCGAGCCGACAAAGACGCCCGGTCGACATCAAAACCTCTGCGCAAAAAAAAAAAAAAAAAAGAAAGGTTTTTACCAAAGCTGTCCCAGTCGATGTGGTGAGACATCTGTTTGTATGGAGCTCAGCGGTTGTTCTGTGAAATTGCTTGATGGCTTTTCTTCATTTCTGTTGTAGCAGATTTTCAGATACTAAACTTAGCGCTCCAAGACAAAGCTGTGGTATTGTGACAGCTTCCTCCATCTCACCCCCCACCCCCCCTTAAGCCGGCACCTTTCCTTTCACTCCTCTTCTCTCGCTCCATTTCCCTCGCTCCCTTCAGTCGGACCGTTTCCACTTCTGCATGCAGGTCAGCGTACTTAATTCATGTCCACAGACACGTTTCCTCATTCACTAACACACTGTGTGAGGGCAGTGGACCAGACCTGCCATACATCAGGGCGAGACTGCACCCCCCCCTCCCCCTCGCCCCTTCCACATGCCTTCTGAGAACGAGCGATACGATGGAACGTTGCAGACGCTCCCCAGCGGACCCGCTGATAACCCTCCTACCAAACCCCAGCCGAGCAACACCGGCAGCCTGGATATCGCCCAGGCCTGTGCGGAATAATGAGAACAAAAGCAGAGTACATGGCCTTTCTCTTCCTTCCTCCTCCTCCTCCACCTCCGTCCTCTTGTTCCGTTTCCTTCGCACATTTGCCAGTGTGTTCCTGCGTCGTCGGCCTTCGGAGGAAAGGGAAGGGTGGTGGGAGAGATGATTGAGAGCTGGAGATATTCCGCTGCCCACACCGGGGCCTTTCTCCATGGTTTGCAAACAGTCATTTTGTTCAGTATCTTTACACTGATCTTAAGGTAATAAACCGGGGTTGACATTGCCCCAGGTCTCCATTGGCATTCTGCTTGGTGTGATAACAAAGTGTGCCTGAAACAGATTGTTTAAAAAGATAGAACGGGCTGCTCCACATAGAGCCTCGCACTCTATTAGATGTTGATTCAGGGGCTTAATGGAGATAAAACAGCTCCACGTGCGCTGTACAAGATGTAACTCTATACATCGATGTGTACAATTTCTAATCTGATATTTATCAGGTGAGGCAGCACTCAGTCTGCTTATCAATCAGATGACTGACATTCAACATACAGTAGGTGTGTGCACATGCATGTATATCAGGGCTCGTGTGGGAGCGGAGAAATCAATCACACGCAGAGCCGTGTTGCAGATTTCCAAGTGGCCGTCCGCGTCGCTTTTAATCATTTTGATCTGGAGTCTGTGTTCGACCTCAACCCGATCATTCCAAATCCAGGTTTTTCTTTCTGATTAACTGTTTGGTTTATCAAAAGCATCTCAAGGTGGTGTGTTGAAATTGCTTGAATTATATTACCCTCAAATGAAAAAAAAAAAAAAACAAACCCTGAATTTTAATGACACACAACAGAAAAAGTGGAAAAAAAACCTTCACACTCAAGACGCTGAATCTCAGTGAAACCTTGGAATATTTGCTGGATAAGTGACTTGGCTGACTACATGGGTGACTAAATATTTCTTTTTGGGCCAAAGTATGAGATGAAAACTGAAACTCAGACACCAAATGTGAAGCTAATTGGTCAGAAAAAAGAACAAATAAGAAATCTGCCAATAAGCGTGTTCTGTGAAATCATGTTTGCATTTCACACAACTTTTTGAAGAGGGGCAGATTTCATAAAGTAAACCACCTGCAGCATGTTGTTGTCTGTTTTTCTTTTTTTGGATTTGAAATGAAACTCATCTCATGTTAACAGTCTTTTTGAGGGATTGAAGACACATTAAAATCAGAAGTAGAGCTACACAATGTGACAATATTCTGTATTTATCGTGACAACTTTCCTTTTTTAATATCACGCTCCATCGTTTATTTCCTTGTGGTGCGTCACGTTCTCTTTACGGTGATATTTCTCTGTCATTTGGACGGAGCTTTGCCTTCCTTCACACTCCGGGGATGCAGGGAGGAAAATTGCATGATTCAAACATGGAGGAGTGGGAACGAGAAACACATTTTTATTCCAAACTGCAGAAAGACTTGGTGGTTTGAGAATGAGAGTCTGATTTTGAACTTGAAAATAACAAAATACTTTGAAATGAGATTTTTGGATTCAGCTTTATACATGCTACAGAATGCACAGGGAGGGAAATGTCTCGTTCCACCGATCAGGCTGCAGCCCACATTTATAACGATGTAATATACAAAGGAATCGGTTAAACTGTCAATAATCTATATCTTATTTACAGTGTTATGTTTATTAACTTCATACATATTTAACTTCGTGGATTTTAAGGAAACCTCATTTTTTTTCTTCCTGACTGAGTTTCCACTGCTTCTCCAGAAATCTCTAATCTCCATCACGATGGTCTTGAGTTGAAGTTGTGAGAAAAGTCGAGAGCTGGCGCTGTAACAAATTGCTTCCTCCCCTCCCTGTATTGACTCTCTGTTTTTCTGTGTAAATGTTCCAGGTGCTGGCTGCCTCCCTATGTGAGTGCGAGGAGCCGTCCCTGCTTCAGTAGATTACAGCATGAGGACTGATCCCACGCTCTGACCAAAGAACGCCGGACGCAGACCACTGAGTGGCGGAGACGAGAGCGGGTCGCGGCGTTGTGGTCATGGATGGAAGGAAAGTGTGCGTACTGATGGTGCTGTGGGCCGCGGCACACCTCACCTCTCCGGGGTACGGGCTCAGGGCCCTGCGGAGGACTACAGGGGGGCGGAGGGGGTCCGCGGGCCTGACGGGACAGGACGCCAACGGAGTGCCGCTCAGACGCTCCAAACGAGGGTGGATGTGGAACCAGTTCTTTTTGCTGGAGGAGTACACCGGGACAGACATGCAGTATGTCGGAAAGGTAGTCTTGTTTTTCACACACCTGCACCACGGCAGCTTCACGTGACGAGTCCAACATATTAAAAACATCTAGATCGGTTAACCTACGTTAGATGAAGGCTGACATGTGATGCTTTTATTGTTTTTTTGGTTACATCCAACAACGAGGGAATGTTTTAAACCCTCTCCATTTGTTTGTTGTAGCAAGATTAAGCAAAAACCAATTAATGGATTAACGAATAATTTAGTGGAAGGGCGTGGTCTGGGTCAGGGGGAGGATCCAGAATTCTTGTTCCAGCCGTCATCTAGCAACTAGTCTTGTACGACAGAGTTTTTTAATTTAAAACAAAAAAGATTGAGCAGGTTTTTTTTGTCCATATTTAGAAGTTGTGGCAAAAGAATCATCTCCCTCTTATAACCAGTTTTTACCTGTTGCTCTGAAGAGTTGTTCCACGTTCTAAAGTGTTTCTCCTTTAACCAACGTCTCGCCTGCAGAAATGTTTGTGTTTACATCCCGGATGGTAAACTGTCACTTTTCCTCAGCCACTCACACACTGGCAGTTTTCAGAGGAGCTTAGGTCTCCTGAAGAAGCTTAGCTCAGCTCCCTCAGAATTTAAACTCTCTCCCTTTTTCGGTTTCGACAGCAGTTTGTTCAGAATGAAAGAGGGAAGTGCTCTATAGTCGCTGCGAGCTGCCATCACCACCCACTAAAGCTGAGCCGAGACAGAAGAGAGCAACACACTCTAAACTTCATCATTAGACGGCTCAGGGTGACGGGCTGCACCGTTAAACTGATAAGTGGTCTCTAACAAGTGTAGACACCACGGAGGTGATCGCTTTAGCAACAAAAGATGAAGCAACAACTTCCCTCTCACAAACACACACAAACTCTGGTGCATGGAATCTGCAGCTTTCTATCTCTTTTTCATATTTGGTGTTTTTGATTCTTCTGGGATTTAATCTTTTTTTAAACTTCGCACAAAGCCTCTGTCAACACAACACGCCGTGAACTTTTTACATGTCGGCATTTGAACAGTTGCTATTTTTTCGTTCATGTAAAAAATGGCTCATTATGTTCTTCCCTTGTTGATACATATTTATGAAGACGCAGCTTCTGAGTCCATCCTGTCCGTCAAACCACAGCTCAGAAGATTCCACCAGATTTTTTTTTTTTTTGCTTCATTTACATTTTAAAAACTCACCTGAAAAAAAATTTCTGACACGACTATTTTGGAGAATTAAGTTTCTGTAATAGTGGGAGGAACCGAACGTCCCTGTGGTCCCTCTTGTGAGAAGAATAAGGGATTTCCTGATGCAGCAAGGAAACGATCTGCTCTCATTGACACACGTGCCACGATTCTCTGACTTCTGTCCCTCCGTCCCCAGACTTCGGGCACTATGTCCATTCCGCTCACATCAAGTGATTCCAAAGCAGCCGTCTCGACCTACAGTGAAATACGACTTCCTCCTGAGGTATTATTGCTTCAACAAAATGAAAACACTGTGTCGACCCAGATAACATTGGGGGATGTACAAGAAGACGGGCCAAATAATGCTTGCTTTACATGCAGCGGAGCAGAAGTCGAGATATCAGTCTCCTCTTCCAAGCTACTGTAATTGAGGAGATTGTGAAGCGTCGCGGCAAGGTCAGGATGACTGAGGAGGAAGAAAGGCTGTTTTGTGCGAGGAGCTGAATGGGGCCAGTGCTTTGCATTCCAATCGTGTGTCCGCGGAGGATAGAGTCATCCAACCAAATGAGATTCTGCAACATACGTCCTCCCCGAGTGAGCGTTGACTTTCAGCCGCGGCCTAAAAGGATTACAGAGCCCGCTACGGTGCGAGGCGAGCGAATACGAGAAGGAACAAAAAAACTAAAACAAAAAAAAGCTGGAGAGGAAAAAAGAAAACGTAGTGAATGAAGATCAGAAGTACCAAGCATGATCAAACCACTTTGTCTTTAGAGAGTGGTGATTGATGTGCCACTCGTCCTTTTAGCTTGTAAAAGGACTAATAGCAAAAGAAGAATGGATTATCTGAGTGTGGTCTACACTTAGAGAGCCAGAGGCCGCATCCTAAGAGCCTGTCTCCTGAAGACGCCATTAAGGCATCAACCATCGAGTGCCGCACTTAATCATGACTCTGAGCGCTTGTTGTTCCCCCAAAGCACATGCAGCTGGGCGCTTCTCCCTCTCGTCAGCTCGCTAGCCAGTCGTCACGCAGGATTTCAGAACGTGGATCTTATCTGATTGCAATTACTGTTTGTTAATTGCAAGATAAAGTACAAATGATGAATGAGGCCCTGAAGGGAATGAATAGTGTTTTGAGTTGAGCTACATCGCTCAACGCAGAGGAACAACTGCCTGCATCCGTATCCTCAGGTGGAGGCCACGCGTTCACAAAGTCGGGGTTCGGAAATTGAGAAAACACAAAGCAGAAACCACAATGCAGCGCTTAAAAGAGGGTTTTTGTCATAGTGAGTGACTTCATGGCAACCAGAGAACACAGATGGAACGAAACCACTTTTGTTTGTGCTGCAAAAAAAAAAAAAGAATTGGAAATAACACAATGGCATGTTATTACAAACAAGGGAGCCGCTCTCACACGTAGAAGATGATGAAACTGCTCTTGAATTACAGCATCCTGTCTCCAGTTATTTGTTAAAACCAGATCTCCCCGCCGTTGCTTTTTTACTTCTTCTTCTCCTTTATTTTTTAAACAAAGGCTTTATCGAGTTAACAAATGAAATTTGCGATCTTTCCCTGAACAAGCACAACAAAAGCAGTCAGAACAGGAAGGAATTAGGAGAAGTGATGGAGATGAGACGGAGACTCTGGCAGCGTCTCGTCGGGGAGCTGGTTGGCTGCTAATCTTGCTAATCTCGCTGTATTGGCCAGCGATTCTGTGTTTTTCCTGCAGGAGGGGGAATCGTACACTGCCTCTCATTAGCAGGCGAGCTGCATACAGGCCTCCGAGGGCCTGGTCTGTCACTGGGGGAAGAGAATGTTTGTTTATTTTATTATTTCTTACTTTACCAAAGGGCACGTATCCTCTGAAAATGGTTAATGGCCTGTGGTTGAGGAGTGTTTGTGCTGCACTATCATATCTCATAAAGTATTTACAGCCCCTGATAGGCCCCAGTGGTTCTGGGCCTGGTGGGTAGACTCCTCAACATAGTCCCTTGCAAGCGAGGAGTGTTCTCTGCATGTGAACAAACACGCTAGCGTGCGCGCAAACACACACGCCTGCAAACTCCAGCATCCGGAAATGGGCTGGAAATCAGAGGAAGGGGGTAACGAAGAAGGCAGATGAACACAGACATAAAAACGCTTCCCACTCCTGCATGACTCAGTGGATGAGGCGTCCTGGGGGAAAGACTTGAGCGACAGCAGCGGAGTGGAAAGGTGCAGGGTTTTGTATGTTTGTTTGTCGGGGGTGGGGTGTTTTTTTTTTGCTCTGTGCTCATGCTCCCCCATTACCAGCTGCTCACCTTGGCAGAGGAGTTTGCAATATGGCACAGGCCTGGCTGCAACCGCGCCATGGCAACCCCTGCGGTCTCCAGCGGCGACCTGGAGCACACATTGGCTGTGTTTGTTGATTAGGCGATAAGTTCCCTCTTGTGCGCCTGGAGGGGGCAACTTCAATTATGCTCGTCTCCCTCTCAGCATGAGCAGCGGAGGAAAGGGTGTGATGAGGTCATGCAGCGGTGAGACCCCACAAACATCAGTCTGACAGCGTCTCAGCGGCGAAGCCATGTCTGAGCGAGCACCGCGCCTTTGTCTCACTGCTTTCACCTGATCACGACTCTCTCAGACGCCCGGCGGTTTATTCAGGGTTCTGTCCTCGAACAATCAGGCATTTTCTCTGCATCACAGTGTTTAGTCGTTTAGGAAAGAGGCGGGAGTGGAGACGAGAGCGACGCAGGGCCGTAGCCAGGATTTTTGAGGTCAGGAGCTCAAATTCTCCCGTGCAGCCTCACCAACGTTGAATGAATTTTCAATTAAAACAGAAATAAAAAGAGTTGAACCGTCATTTAAGTGTTGATCCTTGCTTTTAAAAACTAATTCTGTCTGAGTATAATTATGTTTCAAAGCTTTCTCTGGTCTACGCTGCAAAAAAAAAAAAACGCAGTGTTATGAAGTAATTTCTTCATAAAATAGGAACTTTAAAGTCTGTGAAGTAAAAATGCAGAAAATCCATGAATATTTCATCCGGTGTTCAGCACAAATAAACTCTTTTCAAGCACAATTTATTTATTATCTGTTTTTAAAAACGCAAACTTTAAATAAGTTATTTCCACCGTAGCAGTTGCTCAAAGACAAACATGACAAACTCTTAAAAACTGAATAAAATAAACCCTTAATAAGACATCTACAGCATCTCGCATGTGTTTCTCTGGACTGACACTGAGGATGTGACTTCTGTTTCTCGATCCGTGGCCAACACGAACCGTTGGGAATTGTCCATCGCTAAAAGAAAGCATGGTGGAAATTATGCAGAAAACAAACCACGTCAGATGTCCACGAGAGAGAAACAAATGTTAACTGACATTTCACCTTTAAGTGTCCGCAGCTCCGACCACATATCTCAAGTTTACACATCAACAGACATTTGATAGGCTATTTCTGTGCAAAGTCTGAGGCTACCATCTGGCTACATAGACGGCCGCCAGTTCTCGACAGGCCAGGACACAAGGCCTTAAAGGCTAACTGGCTAATTGCCCCGAGCAGCCCATTTCCAGTGCCATCTTTTTGGCCCGACTCGAGTGCGGCGCAAATGGCGGCCAGACCGAGTCTGCACTAACATTTGCTGCACTTGAAGCTGATTAATTCCACAAACAAAGACGGCTCGCTCGTAAGTTCTCACGCACAGATGTCTGATGAGTACCACTTCACTTCTCAGCCCTCTTCAAACTGCAAGATGGAGCACGTAGGAATGCAAATAAATATCTTCTCCTGTGAAAAAAGGCCACGCTTTGGAAATGTTATGGTGCCAGGGAGCAGAGGAGGCTAATTGAGAGGAAGGTTTTGAAATATATATCATGTCATGGAAGGTACGAGGGTTTTTAAAGTAGGTTGATGTAGTTCTTAACGTCTGGTTCTCTCAAAGCGTATTTCAACCTGTTTCCGATGCAAATCAACGTGTTTCAAGTTTTCTCTGCAATTAAGTTCGTCTTGATTTGAGCTCCGCAACTTTCCTTGATCTTCTTCTCTCTCAGGATACAGACACGTGCTTTTAGAGAAGTCTTTTTTTTTCCTCTGTTACAAACAGGTTGAAATAGTTTGACACTTTGGGAAAGAGTTAGATAAGAAGACTATAATTAACTGATTTGATCGCTGAAAAAACCAGAGTACAAAAAGCTAAGCTAGGCTAACAAGCTGCTGCCTGCGGGCTCGTGTTTTCCAGACAGACATGAGAGAAAGTTTCAATCTTATCTTATCTTACGCTCAGCAAGAAATAAAATGAAGCTGCTCTCAGACAAACACTGAACTCCGGATAATCTCCTGACATTCTCCGGAGGGGCTGAACTCAAATGTCTCTCCGGTCAATCCCCAGTAAAAACTCCATAGAACGTCCGAATGAGACAATGTGAGAACACAGGATTTGCAAAAATAAAAAAAAAAAAAAACAGTTAATATTGAACCAGGATATTAAATCAAAATGTTTGTGCAGTATCCTTTTATAAAATTAAATTTATTTGAGTTTTTGCAAAGCTGCTCGAGCGTCTTTTGTTAAATAATCCCAGACAACATGTTCTCATTTCTGCTTCTTTTGTTCCCTGAATATCTCTTTTGTGGAATGAGTTGATAATATGGAGATTTTAACAGCTTCTTCCTTCTTGCAAAGAGTCCCAGTGTTAATAGCGTCATGCTCTCTGGCTTCTTTACGAGTCAGAACCGTAGGAGGGCAGAGGAGAAAAGGCTAGCTATTGATGTGTCCGGGCTACTTGGTGACCATACTGACTGCACATGTGGCTTTCTTTTCTCACCCCGTGACAGTTTAATTGTATTTTCGATATAAATTGATCAGAGGGGCCATTGTGAATGCACGTTGGGCTGCCACATTGATTTCTGGGAGAGGTTTTTTCCCCTCCTCTTAATTTGAGCAGAGAGGCGGCAGTAAATTCTCCTCGCCGGGACTGTGGCCAACTGGGAGGGACGGGGTCACTGCAGCAGACGCCGGGGTTCGATGCTCCGCGCTGCCTTGTAATATCCTTCAGGGGAGCGAGGGGGAACTCTTCAGAGCCACAAGATCTCTCTGTTTCCATAGAAATGACAGTCGACGCCGCGTATGTCATACTGTCTATCGCACATCTCAGCCCGAAAGGAGAGGACTCAACAGTTATTAACTGAATTGTCGTGCCGGCAGAGATAGGCAGCTTGATAGACAATCATAGAAAAGAACATTGCAGCTATAACAGCAGGAGAAAGATAATAATTTTGAAGTGGATTGTTTTCAGCCAACTGAGTCTCTGTTTGGAAGCATGAACTGTAAAGCGGAACAGAAAACAAATAAAATGCTGCAAGATATTCTCCTGGCTTGGTTAGACAGGGGGAGTAAGAACACACACACACACACACACACACACACACACACACACGAGTGGGTGAATGAAACAGTGCTCCACTCGAGATCCTAATCCGACGATGCTAAAATTCTGCAACACACTCGACCGGCTCTGTCAGACAGAGAAAGGAATGAAAACAGTCATTTTTTAACCAGCATTCAAGCACGAGAACAAAATAGTGTTAAAGATGCTAATCCACAAAGCTGTTCGTCTCGCATGTGCCAGCTCTGCGCTGATAACACAGCATGAATTAGTAAAGCTCCCGAGCACCTGGGATGAAAAGCTTTTGAATATATGATGAGCGCGGAGATTTTTGCAGCGTGCTCCCACGTGACCCAGCTGCAACGTACAATATCCCCCCCGCAGTCTGTCCACCGGCCGAGCCAAGAACGCTTGGCACAACAACAACAACAACAACAACAACAACTCGCCGCTCAAAGGACGATACGCAGGTCTAACCAGCACAATCAAACTGCTCACTTGAGTTAATGAGGTGTCAATACCAGAACTCCGAATTACGTCCTGTCTCGCCGACTTATCAGGGAAAACATTCACACGGCATGAGGCTTATTTTGTGACGTGTCTGCAAACATGTGGCCTCCTTTTGCCCTTTACCTCCCCCAGCAATTATTAGCATGTCCTTGGTTATTAAAGCAGGGAGTGTGTGTGTGTGTGTGTGTGGGGGGGGGGTTGACTGGACAAGCTTTTGATGAGTTCTCTGAGATAAATATGTTGAGGGGGGATTTGGTGCTGGAATTAAAATGTCAGAGCATGCTAAGCTGCTGCTCATGCAAAAAAATAATAATATTTAAAAATTAAAACAGGAGATAGAGAGAGGAAATATGAGGAGCTCCACAGACGAGTGGACTCTCGTGGTCCTCTGGCACAGCGGCGGCGTTGCCGATCCATCAGGGATTGGCAGGGGGCGGATGTGCGCGCGCGCTCATGCTGTTACTTCACGGGCTCCGACCCACCGGCATTCTGTTCTTACAGCGCTGTGGAAATGCCTCCCTGCGGTTACAAAAAAAAAAAAAAACGCACGATGACGACCAGAACATGTGAGGTTTGAAAACGCTGCGTGTTTTCTTCCTGACGCAGACACGAGGTGAAGCCACGAACGTGCAGCGTCAGCGACAGTTTACCGAAGACGATGTGAATCTGTGAGAAGAAACACAGAAGAGCGTTCATCAAAGCTGTCAGTGTTTCTCTGCCAAGGCCCAGATTGGTCCGATTATTGATATGTGCACAGTGTATCAGAAATATTTAAGTGCTTTCTGCTCTGAAAGTTGATTTTGTTAACATCTTTGGCACAAAGTGCTCATCGCCGGGATGTGTTTTTGCACTCTACCTCGCAGAGATCACCCGTCAATCAAACAGAGCAGCTTGCACTCGTTTTTTTTTTTTAAATTCATTTTGTGTTGGACGTGGTTATGTCTGCTCAGGCTAACTGCTATAGATTTTTCCCCTGAAAGAACGAGCTGAGACAAATTAAGGAAATGTGGAAGCTTTCATGAAGTGGAGTTTGAGTCACTGTTGTGCCATAACAATTAGTAACAGAGAGCGGCAAAGTGGGAATTTATTAAAACGAAAAACACCACAAACAGCTGCGTTAAATTGTTGTGAGGGTTCTGCTGGGATCCATATTCTGATCTTCCCTTTTTCTTTTTTCCGTCTCAGCTTCATTCAGATTCCGACCGAGGAGACGGAAGCGTGAAGTACGTCCTCAACGGGGAGGGGGCGGGGTCCCTCTTCAAGATCGACGAGAAGTCCGGGGACATCCACGCCACCAAGAGGCTGGACCGGGAGGAGAAGGCCTACTACATCCTCCACGCCAAAGCCGTCAACCGCTTCACCAACGAGGCGCTGGAGGGCGAGTCCGAGTTCATCATCAAGATCCACGACATCAACGACAATGAGCCGCGGTTCACCAAGGACCCGTACATGGCCCGAGTCCCTGAAATGTCCGACATCGGTAAGTTCCAGACGTACAGGCTGATTTTTTAAATTGTTCCAAAAAATCAGGTTAGAAAACATAAAGATGAGATTTCTCTCCCGCCGCTGGAAATTAATGAATTAGAAACTTAAGCTGGAAAAGAAAATCCTGTTCAGTGCGTTAGGACACAATAATGAAGTGACGGTGTTTGTGTGCGAGGAGCTGGATTAACAGGTTTATCATTCCAATGATGTGGAGATGCCAGTCTTACTGGATCAATGGGACTTTATCAATCATAATAACGACTCGACAACGACGGCCCGGCTAATTAAGAGAGAGAGAGAGACGTTGTTTCATGACCAGAGAATAAACAAGGTAACGCGTCACAGCACTGGTGCTGATAATCTCTTAAACACAGTATTGTATCTTATTAAAACAGTATTTAATTTAATTACCAACATCGTCGTCTCAGTCATCACAGCGAAGAACCGCGGATTCTATTTCTGGGCTGCCAGTTCCTCAGACAGCACCGTTTGCTGTTTTTCACATTATCATTTGTTCTCTCTATTCGGCAACAAATTAAACTTTAATTCACCGTGCACTTTGCTCCGGCTGCTGGTCTAAAAGTACACACCGGCCTCATGAATATAGATAAACAATATAAAAAGGCTCCTAATCAATACTTGCATGAAAACATGGAGTGAACTCTCTGTTGTGCTGCTGCTGCTGCAGCTGCAGCTTCGGGGACTGAGGGATGTGGGTCTCGCAGCCCAGACATGTGACAGAGTTGTCACTTGGTTCAGCAACCCCAAGAGAGAGGCCAGCACTTATCTAAGGGCAGCACGGGTGCCCATGGCAACAACCGAGGTGTGATGTCACCGCTTGGCAGAGCATGTGTTCACGAGTGACTGCGCGGAGACGCGGCCCCTTTAAGTGTGACACACACTTTGAGTTTTTATTGTCGTCTCGCAGCCCTGACATTCTTCCCTCGGACTCTCGGTCAGGGGCGACTTTGACAACTGAGTGATTACAGTCAAGGTAATTTACTCCACCTTCACCAGAGCCGCAATCCCCCCCCCCGTTCGTCAGGAAAATTCTTGTCCCTAAAAGTCGGCCGATGAGATGGCCGACGTGGATCAGTGATACTTTTCTAAAAGCCACCGTGTCAGAAAAGCCTGTTTGAGTCTAATTCCCTAGTTAAAGGTATTAGTGATCAAGGTTCGGTGAACTTCCTGCTGCCGAACTGTCACCGACACCGAGTCAGACATCCGTGGTGCCTCGGCTCCCTCAGGTTTTTTTTTTATTTCACCCTTCATCCTTCCACATCACACTGATGTTTAAAAGTAGGAAACTCTCCTCCTGCACTCGCACAGATCAACTGACACCAAATTAACAGAAGTTTCATGAGGTCGTTATCTCATCGTATTGCACAATTCTATATTTATACCACTTTGTCATTAAATATTTCTACTCAATTAATTTTCCCCTGCATGTAATGAGGCAACACTTGGCCCTGCGAGGCGCCATTTGGGAGGTAACACTTGGCTAACCGCTTTTCTTTTGTTCTGCTGAAACAGGGCTTCAGCCTTTCTGGAAGAGAAAATGGATCAGAGTCGTTCTCCTGCTATCAGATATCTTCTTACACTCCACAGATACGTGGATACGCTAATAGGCTGCTGGGGGTTTGCAAAGAGCCGGTATCGGGGTCGCCTGTATGCTCAGAGAGATATACTTAGAAAAAATACATCAGGACTTATCGATTAGCCGCGTGAATCAATCACGTATAAGGGCATAAGTGGCCGAGGAGTAAAGATTGGTTCTGGTAATGCAAAGGGACAGAAGAGGATCCGACACCTCATCAGCTTAACCGATTATCCAGCAGGCAATTTTTTAGCATGTATTGAAGAGTTGATCTCTCTCCCCACCCCCACCCCCCCCACCCTGCAGGCACCTCGGTGATTCAGGTGACGGCCACCGACGCGGACGACGCCACCTACGGGAACAGCGCCAGGGTGGTGTACAGCATCCTGGAGGGCCAGCCGTACTTCTCCGTGGACCCGGACACCGGTCGGTGACGAGCTTGAACATGAAATAATATTTCAACCTGTTTTTCTCTGAATGAACAGAAAAAGACAAATGAAGTATTTTCTTAACGGAATATGTGTGAAAGCAACTTGTGTGTGATCGTCTGCATCTTCAGAGTCAGGAGTGTGATGATGATCAAAAACCCCTCCCCCTACGTAACCTGCAGCTTTAACGCCGCGCGTTCACACCGTTTGTCCGGGAGGTGGTCTTCCTTGCGAATCGTGACGAATCACGAACCCAGTCATTAAAAAAACGGAGGAACCACGCTGAGCTTCACCGGGGCGGAGCGAATTAAAACAATTTATCAGAAAATAACTCGGGGAAACTTCCCGGAATAACAACGTGTCTGCCTCCTCTCGAGCGACGGGGGATTTGGAGTAAGAGACGGTGGCATATAACCAACTCCACCCGAAACGTAGCCACGTGCTAGTTTTAATCATTAATGTGCGCTTTGGAACGCGTCCCGCTCGTGTCTTTTTTTTTTGCTTAAACAAAAGGGAAACGACTAAAAAAAAAAAAAAGAAGCCATTTGCAGATTAGCGCAGGGATTAACAGTAATATGGTTTATCCCACATGTGGTATGTAAGCTGACATCCCCCCTTACACAAAGACATGCCTGGACATCACATCATAAGCAGGATTTGTTTCTGCTCTCCTCCTCTGTGTGTCTGTATTGTTGTCATTAAGCAACAACAAAGGTAGACAGAGCCCGATGCTGCTGGAGCGAGGTGGAGAAAGAGGAAGTTGCATTGCGTCACGGGTTTGTACGGAAGCAAGAGGAGGCGGGAGTCGTGGCGCCCGGCGTGATCCGAGCCTGAGTGATGTGCCACGTCAGGCGCTTCCTCTTCCTCCTCGTTTGATTTGCAATGAATCATCTATTCAAAGTGAAAGAGCTGAAGTTTGTCAAAGCAGTTTATTTAGGGTTTTTATTCTCACACTTCATTTTGTCTTCGCTCCCGCCACCTGCTTCGCTCGTACAGCGCGCCACAGCAGACAGGATGTGAGTGCGGCTCTGATGGGAGATGGAGCGCACCTTTTGAATCTGCTGCCAATTACGGCTTCAGTCGCTCTCTGTCCTGACTCCAAACTGGAGATCTGACACGTCGGAGCCGCGAGGTGCGCCTCGAAAGGCCGAACATTAACAGACTCTTAATTCCAAAGAGAAGATAAATGACGCTGCGTTTGGAGACGCAGAAAATCAAAGGAATACTCTGTTTTTTTTTTTTTCTGGTTCAGTTTATCGGCTAAATCACGAGAACACGATCGCCACCATGGTCTCCTGCGCATAAAGAGCGAGGGCACCGACCTTTCAGTGATAAAATGTTCTCAGTGCTTTAATTATGCGGCCTGTAGATGCATTAATCTAAAAAATGAAATATCTTTAATTCAATACAGCTGATGCAGACAGGGTTATTTTTTTCTCTCGGCCGGGTACAGTGATTTTTCAGATACAGTCCACCTGAGCTAATTTAGGGTTTTAATTTTGGGAACCGATTTCATGAAGTTATTCAGACTTTTATGTTCCCACGCATTCCTAAAGTTACATTAGCAAAACTACCCGAAGGTGAAAGGTCAACGAGGTCACGGGGTCCTCTTGTGTTGAGCACTCGTCAGATATTTTCAGTTCTGGAAAGCGAAGAGAGAGAAAAAAAAAAAAAAAAACGTTCAGAAGAGCTGATGATTTTACAGAAGAGTCTGAAATGATTCAATGACAGATGGGATTTTTCTCACTGAATCTTTTGTGCAGCTTGTTTTCATGATTTTCACTTTTAATTTGATGAAATAAGACACAACTATAGAACACAATGAAACTCCAGTGAGTCCAACCAGTTAACGAGTTATCAGAATAAAAACAGAGTTAAAGTGAAAAGTACCTGGAAATAAATCTACTTTAGATACATGTACTTCGTTAAATCCCAATACTGGAAACATTTATTTGAAATAGTCAAAGAAATCAGTGTTTTGTGCAAATAAACATTTAAAATCTACAAAATATTGAATAGATTTGATTCGAGGATGTTGGTTTAAACGTGTAAATCGGTGTGTTTACCCTCAGGCCTGATCAAGACGGCTCTGCCCGGCATGGACCGAGAAGTCAAAGAGAACTACCAGGTTGTGATCCAGGCCAAAGACATGGCCGGACAGATGGGCGGCCTCTCAGGAACCACCACGGTCAGCATCACCCTCTCCGACGTGAACGACAACCCGCCGCGTTTCACCAAGAGTGAGTACAGCCACCTGCACACACACACACACACACACACACACACACACACACACACATGAAAACCTCTCGTCTGCGTGAGCCTTCCCCATCTGGTGTCAGTTTCAAAAACGAATTTGGATTATTGCAGGGTGCTCTGGGTTTTGTGCCACTGAGGCCGGGCTCTTAAAGGCAGGGAATAATTAAATATAGAGCCATATGACGGAGCGAAAGGTCCCGCAAAGTGCATCAGATCATCCCTGTAATCCCTATTAAATGGAGAGAGTACATTCGCTGGGTTTTATCTCCTCTCCTCTTCCTCTCTCTTTGTCTCTCTGCCGTTATTAAGTCTTTCTCCTGCTGCCTTTACTCCATAAAACCAATGTTCTCAATTTAGTGCTCCAAACTGTCCTTGGTGCGTTTTTTTTGTTAAAACTCATGATACATCAATCCCTCCCTCTTCACTCTCTCTCTTTCAGTCTCACACATTGTCTCCCTTTGTCCCCCCACCCCCTCCCTCCTCCTCCTCCTCCTCGCCTCCTCTTGTGTGTTTGCCGAGCGGCGACAGCAGCCAGATCAGATTGACAGATTACCGGTGTCGTTGTGTTACCCCCTCGCTAAGAGCTAACTGTACAGAGGGGGACGCATGCGCACAGCGGCCGGCGCAAAGGAAAAACCTGCGACCACAGAACTCCTGCTGTCCCTCCATTTATCACCCCCCTCCTCCTCCTCCTTCTCCTCCTCCTTCCATCAGTGTTTAGGTAGGTGGTGGAGGAGGGGGGCAGGGGGATGCGTGCAGATGCTGTCATCTCACCTCCGCCGCCAATGAATGAACAGCAAGAGGAGGCACGGAGAGAGAGAGATGGATATGAAGGGGATGAGGAGATGACAGGAGGGGAAGATAGAGGAAGAAAGACGAAGAGTGAGGCAGACGACAAAAAGACAGGCCGTGATGGAGGGAGCAGGGGGGCGGGCGGACAGAGGGGAAGATTGAAAGAGGGAGAAAGAGAAAGAAATATTGTAATGGGAAACCCAGAGGAGGTAGAGTGTCAGGAAGCGATATGATTGTTGTCTGCAGGAGTGATGCCTCTTCTTCTCCACCCAATGCTAAATACCGGTTAGCCTAGGGAACCTTCTCGTGGTGCGTCACTTCCAGCGCGTGTGTTTATGTGTGTGTGTGTGTGTGTGTGTGTGTGTGTGTGTGTGTGTGTCAGCGTCACGGCGACCTGCCGACTCAGGCGTTGCCAAAACACTGTCAGCATGTTTTATTAGTGTGTCAGTGCTGTTTGTCTCCGCAGGCTGTGTGTATATCACGCCCGCTCCCTCCTGCAGTCCGGCTATTTATTTAAGCACACGAGATGCGAGCGGGGCCGCCGCCGCCGCTGACAGGCGGCCATCAATTCACCCGCCTCCAACCAGGAAATCATCTCGCACAATAACAACAACAAAAAAAAGGAGAAGCAATTAATTTATGTTGAGCAAATTGGCCCAGAATTTATGTCACAACCCGAAACTGGAGTCGTGAGTCGATACGTTGATACTGAACTCCCCCACTCAGCTTCTCCATCCCTTCATCGCCGCCCTCCGATTGGTTCTGACTCACTCATGAGAATCTCTGGGGCCTTAATGCTTCTTAATCAATATTTTAATTATTTAAATTCTCACCAAATCAAAATAGAAGCATTGATTCACCTTTAAAATTAAACTGCATCTCCACAAAGACCAAAAGAAAAGAAAAACCAAGGATGTGATTTCAGTCGTGAAGGCCTCAGCGTCTGACTCACTTTCCTTCCTGACGTTTTCTCCTCGTCGTTAAAATTCTAAATTCTTAAAATTCTCTCTCCGCAGCCCTCTACGAGTTCCGGGTGCCCGAGTCCATCGAGCTGGGGTCCACGGTGGGACTGATCCGAGCCATGGACGGAGACATCGGCGAGAACGCGGAGATGGACTACAGGATCATCGGGAGCGACGGCACTGGCGTGTTCGACATCACCACCAACAGGAGCACGCAGGACGGCATGATCGTGCTGAGGAAGGTCAGGGACGAAATTATCATTTAATCAACATTTTGATTTACAGTAATCCACACGGACGTTCCTCTAAGAACTTCTCTTCAGATTCTCGTCACTTTATCAGAAATAAAAGATGAATAGACACGAATACGTAGAATAAATGCAAACAAACTAGTTGTTGGATAAAGTCAGTAAATAATCTGCTCTGTCTTCAGAACTTTAACAGTTGTGATCGTGAACATGATGTTTTATTAAGTGCTTCACAATAAGTGAAACTACAAACTGATCGAGGAACAGTTCAGTCATTAAAATGGACAAACGGGATTTAAAAGACGACTCAGCGCAGAGTCTGTGAGGATCTTTAACTACACAAAACTACACACACACGATTCAAATATCTAAAATATGAAGTTCTTTTAAGTTTTGTTTCATCCTGAACCTGAACGTCAGATGTTTCCCAGCCGCTCGTGACCTTTCTGTTTGTCTGGAAGATTTAAAATCCAGAGCAGGACCAGTGACGCTCTGGTTAGTTGGAGCTGATCTCAGCGGAACAAACACTTAAATGGTTCCCCGCAGGTCTTCGTTTTAAAAGTCCAACAAAACGTTCATGTGAACTTAATCAGCTTCTCAAAGGGTCGAAAGAAGAAGAGCGAAGCTGCAGCCTTGAGCAACTGAAGACACTTCATGGAGACGTTTGAGAGACTGTTGACTGTCTGAGTTCAATTTCATGAAAATCGTCAGGATGATAAATTTAAAGCTTCATTTGCAGAATTTGCTGCAGCTCACAAAGTGTCGTGCACTTGATTTTCCTTCCTTTTGTTCAACCTCAAACCAAAACCTGCTCTTCGTGCATGAGAAGGAAACATTTAAAAAATAAAAGGATCCGATAAAGAAACCGAATCATAGAAACTCTATATGTTTCCAGACGGACGCAGGAGTTAGATTTCAACTTCCCCTCGCCGACACTTCCCCTACACGTGTTCTGAGTGAGATTCCCTCTTCCTCTCAGCCGAGACGGAAGCAGAAATATTGATGCTGAGTATGGATCGCGGCGTCGGGCGGTGTGCTGCGGTGTGTTTCTGATGTATTCAACAGAATCTGGCAGCTGCCTTATCAAGCGGCCTCCCTGCAGCCTCCGATCGATGGCTTCCATCATGCCACCATTAAGTGGAAGATGACATAATTGCCTTTTGTAGCCGCGGCGGTGCTGTGGCGATGTGGTGTGTGCGGGTGGAGCCTGTTTGTGGGGGGGGGGCCCCCGCCCGGCCTTAACACGAACCAGCAGAACTCAGCCCCTCACCGTATTTTCTTATTCGTGGCTTCAGAAAACGGTTTGTTCCATCCTGATTTCTCGAGCTTTCACGGGTCGTTACCAGTGAACACGGAGCTGGCGTCCTTTCATATGTACAGTAGGCGGCCTGC